TCTCTCTCTCTCTCGCTCGCTCGCTTATCACTCCCTGTGCTCTCTCTTATTCTTCTGAATCTGGGTTGATCGCTCGAAACAGCCTCAGAGCTTCAATCGTTTGTGACACGAGCTTGGCATCTCAGCAGCCGCCACAGCCGTTTTCGACCACAGGTCAGAGCTGAAAGAATCTTTTGACCGTGAGCAGCCTTGCAAGAAGACCGCTCATCATGGGCATCAAGCGCAAAGCGCAGCAGAGCCAGGCCATCACGAGTAGTGTGTAGTGTAGTTGAAGGTGATTTACAGAGATTCTTGTTTCCCTGTATTTCGGTGTGTCTTGCATCTGGACCAAAAGGTTGTTGTGTTGGCCACCGGCCCGGAATCATGCTTTGGGTGCAGGTTGAAATCTTCCCATCGTTGATCAGTCATGTCTTCTGTTGTCGCTGGATCTTCCTTAGCAGTGATGGGAAAGCAACAGGGCAGCCCTTTGCTTGAACAATGCAGGCCTGTAGGACTGTAGGCATACTATAGGCTTAGGCCTAGGCAGAAGCGTGAAAAGCCAGGCTCTCGTGCGGACGGAGGATGCTACGAGGAGACAAAGAACGAAGGGCCCGGCCGCTGCTGGAGCTCACGCTGCGAGCAGTGTGGGTGCCAGGGCCACGGTCTTGGCATTGATATGCCTGATGTGCAGCGCAAGCTCAGATGATCCTTGGTTTGCGATGGATAATGCGAGCTGCGAGCCGAGGTTGATGTGGTAATGTGGTTCTGCCTACAGGGCCTTCAACATGATATTTCTGCACAGGGCCGGTCAGAATTCTGAAAGCCAGAATCGTCCTTGGATTCCTTCTTACCGGGTTTTCAAGTTTGTTCTTGACCATAATCAAAGGTGTGGTTCAAAGTTCAAACCGGGTACTGTTAGGTACGTAGCACGGGGTGGCCTCAGTGGGGTCGTACTTGCACGGGTGTCTTGAAGTGAGCCTGTGTTGCTCCGGGCCCCGGCCTTCGATGCCATGCTGCATACTTCGCGAATTGCCATGAGAAAGGGTAGACTCGACTCGGGTAGACCCACTAAGTAAGAGCTAGTGAAACGACTCGTGGTGGGACTACGACGAGTCTTGTTGTGTTATGTCTTTTTAGGGTTTGGGTTTTGTGCTTGATTTGGGATGGTGACTCTTCGGTCCAGCCATGACATGACGAGGACAAAGACTTCGTGGAGTATGACGCCGCAGGCAAGCCCACCATTGCCATGTGCTTCAACTGTGCCGATTTGGGAGGACGCCTGCGACCAGACTTGGCCGCCTTGGGAGTGCAGGGGGCAAAGACAATGTTATCCCGCTACCGAGCAGGCACTGGGTGCCTGGAAGATCCATCCTTCAAGAAGGATTTTTTGGCTGCTGCTCGGTTCCAGGACAGGTCTGATGGTCCACTTCGTGCGCCTTTCATGCCGGGGAGTGCAGTCAAGAACGTGACCTCCTACGGCATAAGGGTGTCGCATGTGTATGCATGCCTCACCGAAGCAGAGTATGCGGCACTCCTGGGCGCCCCTCCCTCCGCTATCAAACTGGCCCCAACATCGCTCCCGGTTCTTGGGCCAGGGCAGTCGCGAAACTACTATGTTCTCGACATGGAAGGGCTACCTGAGGCTTTGAAGAGTACTTGCAAGAAGCTTGAAATCTTCTACAATGCCGAGTCGGAGTTTGACCAGATCTACTTGGACGGGACAACACAAATCCACCAAGATCAGGGCGAGCACGTGTTCAATTACATCGCCAAAACTGCCTTCCAAAACAGACCCGAAAAGTCGAGACCAGCTTCCATGCCGATGACTTTGGAAGAAGCCTTTTTAAAGCATCAAGAAGCAGCTGCAGCTCAGGCTGCTGCTGGGGAAGCTCCAGGTTCAGCGGCAGTTGTGGATGCCGACGACGATGACGAGGTGGCTCCTCGAGAGAACCGGTCCTTTGGGATTGTCGCGGCTGCCGCGCCGAAGCCTGGTGCCAAAGCAGGAGCTAAGCGGAAGGCGGCGGCTGCAGCTGTGGCTGCAGACGCAGCTGCTCGTCCCAGACGGGTCTCCGGCTCAGGGGCTGAGCCAAGCCAGGCTTCGAACGTGGGCAGCCAGCCCGGCGGGAACGTGACTTCGGTGGACGAGGAGATGCCCGTCAGCGAGAGCAGTGTGCCAGGTGGCAAGGCTGGGCAGCTGGCGAGGCTGGACCCGGATATGCGGCTCGTGGCCGAGAAGCATTGGTTGAACCACCCAAGCGCCGCCGTGAAGTCGTTGGAGTCACTCTCAGCCATCAAATACTTGTTGGACCCGACAAAGCCCTTGACCCTGGCTTTGAACGGCGTCAGACTCTCAGTGTTTGTTGCATGAATGTGAGGGTGGCGTGCTCGCAGGTTTCAGTTTTGAGCAATCAGTCTTCATCCCAGGCCCTAGCCGGCCCTACCCGCTAGGTGCTAGCTGCTAGCTAGCTGCAATTTCCAGCCACGACGAGGATAATGAACGGATCGTGACGGATAGTGTGCAAAAGAGCTGTGAGGTAACATCACACCTAGAAGCGATGCAAGACTCCAAGACAGTGCTCATATGGGCTGTAGTGACTGTAGTGTTGGATTTGGGTATGCCGAATGAACATCATTATGCTTGTGACTGGACTAGCTGAGTAGCAACGCTGAAGCGGGTAAAGTGAGACATGCGTGTCTGTGCTGCTCTGTTCAAGGCAATGGCCTCGTGAGTTGAAAATGCCGAAGCTTCGATTGTTTTACGAAGCATCATATCAAGTAGTGAAGTAGTGTAATAGTGTAATACAGCCTTTCTTAGGCTCGTCCATAAAAAGAGATTCCTGTCCGGGTGAAAGGCAGTATGTATATATATATATATATATATATATATCCGAATCATTTCAGCATCAGTTTGCGGGCCCAGATCAATAGCTTCACTAGGGGCCGAGACGATATATACTATATTCTCTTACTTACTTTCTTGGACCGTCCTTAACTCCATAACTTCATGCGTCGCCCAGGCGAAACGCCTCCTGGAGACATTGCAGAAGGACAAACAGTTGTTGGCTGTCAACCTTCTGCAAAACCGGGTGGATATTTGCGAGCAGGCGATGAACTTTGCCAATGCCAACCTCTTGAACACGAGCGTGCAGACTTTGAACCAATTGCTGAATCAGATCAAGTCCTTGTGGAACAAGATTCCCGTCCCGAAACAAGTGACAATTGCTCAGCGCTTTGCAATTGAAGCTTTGGGGACAGCCATCGAGTTGTACCAAAAGGGGAGCGCTGAGTGGCAGAGCCACAGAGATTTGTTCTTGGAGTACTTTCGATGGCCGGTGCACACTGAGTGCCCCACTGAGGCGCCGGAGTTCAATGCCAAGGAGGCCAAGTTTGCTGGCATTCTGGACCAGCTCTTGTGCATGGCAGGAGACCGTGAGGACGAGGATCTGCTGGCCGGGTTCAATGATGAGGGCGACGAGGTCGAGAATGCAAAGGCCAACGCGAAGGCGGCCAAGGATGCAGGGGGCGGTGCAGATGGTTCGGTGGCAGACTTGCAAGAGGGTGCACAGGCTGGCGCGCTGAGAGAATTTCCGGCGCCCGTTGCAGCCGTTGCTTTAAGGCTAGGGACTTTTGTCGGTAGGAGAGCAGCTTAAGTTTTGGGGCCCAGGCCATCGAGAAGGCTATGTTGGAGATCTTCTTGAGTGAATCCTGGCTTCGTTTGTTGGAGGCAGCCCAGGAAAACAAAGCCTTCATCGTCAGCATCGCTGCAGGCTTTTTGGACCTTCAAGAACAGCAGAAGGCCTTGTCGGACTTCTTGGCACAGACCCCCCTCTCCAACATCCCAGCCGTGTGTGAACAGATCAGCAGATTCTGCAAGGCGTGCCTACTTGCCTTTGGTGAAAACCCGACAGAGGGCAAGATTTCCTGCTCAGTCAAAGACCTCTTCTGGTTCAGCGAATACACAGGCCCAAACCTGTACGAGCGTTCCATGCGGAACATCATGAGCAAGAATGAATGGTGGGCCAAGCAGCTCACGGATGTGGCCAGAACTGCCAGTTCTAAACCACTTCTCGAGCCTGCACGTCTTCAGCTGGAGGATTTGCTGGAGAAGGATGCTAATCCAGCTTCTACTAAGGACTTGCAAGCCATGGCCGAGCTGTTCACACAGGTGACCCCAGCTTTGCGTGATGCGGAGGTGGAGAAACTCAGTGCTTCCATTGTTGAGCGCACAAAGGCTGCAGCCGTGGCTCTCCGAGAAGTGACTGACTTGTCCAGCATCGAGAAAATCAGGGTGGATGTGATTCTGAAGCTGTTGACACTGTTTGGTCACGTGCCGGGTGTAGCATCAGTTCAGGAGGAGTTTGTCAAGTGGGCCACGGCCTCTCAGACCACGCTTCAGCGCAACGGGTTCCTGGCAGCCTTGTGGGCTGCCACTGCCACGGAAACCGATTTCGTGCCAGTGAAGACTGCCCTTGAGAATCAGCCTGGACCGATGCTTGCGCCGATTCGGAAGTCGCCCGACCTTCTAGGTGCCACAATCCACTTCCTGCGCAGGGGGTGCCAGAGCATCATTCACAAGGCAGGCGTCCGGTCGGGATCATTTGTGCATCGCCAGTGATTCTCGAGAGACAGAGAAGGAGGCGGAGAGATTTGAGGGAAAGGTTACGGTTACTGACGGTTACTGTTACAAGTTCGGATTGCTTCGTGACGTGTATGTTTTTGAGAAGAATGCAGTTGGATCCAACTGTGACAAAGGATGTTCTTCGGCATGGAACAATTTGAATAGCGTCACTTGTCTTCTGGATGCATCGTGGCACTGAGCATTTCATGCTTCGATAAATCCTGGTGAAATCCTTTATTTTCCAACCAACCAACATTGTCTGATTTTCGCGCGGAAAACCGTGTGTTGTCCGAGCCACAAGCAAAGCGGCTAACCTATAGTTAATCCCTGACCCTAGCCCTAGCTTTGCAAGCAGTGGTCCTTAGAGTTTACTTGGCCAGGGCTCTGCCGTGACTGGGAAATATGCCTTCAAGTTCTTGGGCTGCGAACCTCTGTTGCTTATACTTACACGTCCTAGTGGCTCTATCGCCCGATCCTCCGAAGCCATTAAATCATTACCACATAAAGCCAGAAACCGCGCACACCGAGAATCTATTGACCTACTGCCATGCAACCTGACACCTAAACCCCAAACCGAAGGCCGAAACCCTAGTCCAGCTGAAGTCCTAAACTCCGTGTGCCAAGACCGTGCATCTTCGACTCGGTGCAGGAATACAACAAAAATGAGGAAAAGTTAGCCCATGTTTAACCAGTGCAGCTTCTTTGTCGTGGTGTAGCAGATCACATATTTACCATGTGCATGAAGTTATACTAGTGTAGGCATGGATAGCAACAATTTACCCTGGGTTCTGCATGCGGTCGCATTGACTACAATAGACAATAGAAGTCATTGAAAAGACAGTTTCAGGATTGATGGATTGGGATAAGTTTATGTTACTACATTATGGTTGGTTGGTGTGACTAGTGACTAGTGGTGGTTCGAAGGGTCGTTTATGCTGTGATACAGATGCTATCAGACTTGTTACCTGTTGCCCAGCAATGTAACATTGTAGAAGCCAGCCAGACTTTGGGTCGAAAGTTTTTGTGAGTCGAGCTCGGAAGATGCGATATACAAACCTTGACTTCCCTGAGACCTCGTGGTGCACGACACCACAGCCGTAACGTGCAACGTAGAACCGTAAGCCGTCCTGGTTTTAGCATGAACACACAAACTGACATGGACATCCCACCGTGCCAGGCTTTGTTGGGCACCCAGACCTCCACAGAGTCCAAGCATAAAGCCTACACCATGATTCTGTTGTTCAAGACGGTCTTTAGCGACGCAGATGTGAAGCTGCTGAAGTCCTTGGCGACGACGCAGTGCTCCGGACTAGCAATTTGCTCAGCAGCGCATGCCGCTCTGCAGAAGCTGATCCAGTCAGGCGATGACGCAGAGAAGCGGCTGGCTCAAGACCCAGACTTGATCCTCGTGACCAACGTGCAGCAGCAGCGGCTGAAGCAGAAGGGTTACGTGCAAGACCTCCAGAAGGTGCAGGCCCAGATAAGGTCAGCTGAAGCTGATGTGGCCACTCTCCTTGGCAACAACGACTCCTTCATTCATTCGCTCGGGTGTTTCGCGGAGTATGACATGAGCGCCGCCTTTCAGGAGCACAGCTCAGAGGCCATCAACTTCGAGACGATCTTCCAAGATTGCTTGGAGCTTCGTGGTGCACATTTGGCAAAGAAGCTTCAGGACAGCGGCGACGAGGTGGTAGCATCGTGCCAGGGGTGGCAGCAAGGCGGATTGCATTTCTGGCGTCAGGCGGCCACTCCCGAAGCATCCGTCTCGGAGCTTCAAGACCTGATGAAGAAGTCGATCCTCGCCTTGTCCCCGAAGGACATCAAAAGGACGACTGACAACTTCATTCAGGTGCACCGGCCAGGAATGAATATAGTGGGTGGATGGTAGATTCTGGTAGATGGGTTTGGTGTTCGAATGTAGGGTAGAGCAGAATTGAAAGTACCATTGTTAAGGTCATTAAAGCACATGCCGATGTAGAAGGCATATCTCTTGCTCTTGCTGTACATTCGAGATTTCGCAATCTCCGTTCTCATTGATTCTGGTAATCCGAGTAGCTTATAGTTTTCAAGCCAGCAAGGTAGTTTCACACCAAATTTTTGTGGTTGATGGTTCGTGAGTGCGGTTCTGGCCCGGATGCCGGCTTCTCTTCAAAGCCGTGTCACATGCTTTATTCTAAATTGATGTTTATTTTTTTATGATTGTTCTTACTATTATTATTACTAGCTGTTGGCTGTGGACCATTCTACCCTTCAGATTTGCGGAGTTTTGCTGCTGCTGCTGCTGCTGCTACCACTGCCTTTGTTGATACTGCTGCTTACGTGGAATGTGGAGGTTCTCAAACGACACCCACGAGTATATGTAGTTGCTTGTTCTGTTGGTGAGCAGAATGAACGGGTTGGTTTGCTTAGGGTCGAATGGTCAGGTGAGTGTGGTGACTGGTGTCGAGTGTTGGGTAACCGGGCGGCCCAAACCGATAGGTCAGGTATCAATGTTGCACAGCAGAGATATTTGCGAAAACTCCCGCCTTGACTTCTGTGCCACATTTGCCACATGTGCTCGTGTGTTGTGCCAGTGGGAGTAACACCAACAGCATAGCGCTGTGGCACGGTTTGGTTAGGTCGGTCAGTCAATTGGACCCTGTTGGTTTTGGGCCAAATGACCTGTCGCAGGCTAGCTTACATGCCAGCATTTGAGAGATTCTTTCAAGGTCATGACAGATGCCCGTGCATTCCTGGACAAGTTCGAGCTGAAGCAGACGAAGCTTCACGATGTCTTGGAGGATGTCATCGAAGGCCCACGTGAGGTCAAGGTTCTGTATATGGAGAGCCTTCTTCTTCGCCAGTTTTATAAGTTGGCTGAAGAGCCAGCAAACCCCGAACACGTGAAAGACATGAAGGCACTGGTCACGAAGCACGGCATTTTCTGCACATCCAATGTTCTCAAGATTTCGTCTGCGGACTTGCATCCTGGGCTGTGGACTGCGGCTCAGGCAGCTTGCAACTAGCTGCAGACACAGAGAGCAGGCCTGCCCATCCGGAACCGAAGCCTATGTCACGCAGGCATACCCTTTCTCGGGAAATTAGTCACTTCATGAAGTTGGACTTCTACTATACTTATAGAAAAGACGTGTGTCGAGTGTTTCGAGCGGTTGGAGTTGGAGTTTTTCGTGATGTCCACTTGAGTTTCGATTTAGTGTGTCTCATGCGAATCAACTGTGTTAGCATCTCTGCGTGGTTTTCCGGTTGGGCTTTATTGTACCTGTATATCTGTTCGTTCGTGTTCTTGTCCTTTCAGAGCAAGTAATCATACCATGCGAGGATATGTAGACTCAGACTGTGTCGGGACGGGTCGGCCAGCGCTCCTCGACACGGCGACACTGTGATTAAAACTTCGCCCGTAAGCCCTATAAACTACTAGAACCCAGACCTTCTTGTGGAAACCGTAGTTGTAAGCTAAAGCCTTAAACGGTCCCAGACCCCTAGACTACGATCTCTGGCAGCTGGGAGCTCAACTCTTCAGCAGCAGCTCATGCCCTGAACCCCATGACTATGATATGGGTATTCGACTATGATGTGCCGATATGCTATGTTTGAACCCGCAGTGTACTGAAGTACACAGTGCCAGCCGCAGTTTTTTTGTTCGGACTCCGTGTGCTGAGTGCTGGAGTCTGCTAGAGCGATTCATGTGCAAGCATCCGTGGTAGAGCGATGGCAGCCAAAGCTTCTTTGGCCGGTTGTCTTAGTTGGGCAAGGCAGTGTTGAACTGTTGTGTAGATTGTAACCGTAGTCGCTCTGTAGCCGATGGTAGCCGGTAGCCGTGCAATGCCGTGTTGTCATACCTGACCTGCCGCTTTCCTCAGTTCTTACTACTTCAAAGCCGTGCCCGAATGACAGCCCCTGAAAGCTTTGGGTTTAATCATGGGAGTGCGAATGGTGCACCCATGCTGGGTTTACCCTAGCTGCTGGACTCCTGTACAAAGCCACGGAAGCTCCGATATGAAGCATGTTCGCGGTGAGGAAAACGTTGAAGCAACCCAGTATGTCCGAGTGGAGTTCCCGGTCTCATATCTGTCACGTGCATGAGCTGGTGAGTTGATGCCAGACTACACTACACAAAGCTTCATGGCAGAGTTTGTGGATCGTGATTGTTGGCTTGTGCGCCAGCCGCCAAAACCTAGAGCAGCAATTAAACATGTGGTGCTGCCACACTTTGTTTCGGATTTCCCAGCAAGAGGCAAATCGAAGCCTTATCCACGAACCCAGTGCAGTTGGACTGTTTAGAAGTTTAGAATGTCTCTGATGTGTGACGCGAAAATTCTTTGTGCCGCCGATGGTACGCTGGCACACGGATGAAAGGCATGTTGCATGTTGAGTGATATTTAGCTGCGACCCTGTTTCCAAGTACTGAAGTCGACAAGTCCCGCATGTCCCTTTCGCCGCCAGCCCTCCACCTATGTGTTCAGGTATGTGCAAGCAGTGGTTGGATATCCTGCAGTTGTGCCTGCAATTTTCAACACACCTAGCGAAACATTATGGACTAGTTTTGTTGGGGGGAGTGGTAGAAGGGCCTGCAACCACACCAAGACCCGACAAGTAGACAGTTGTGGGCGCTGGACCTTCGGGATAAGCAGTCATACTACTCGCAACAGGTTTTCAAGCCACAGACACAAGCCACATCAGTGCACAAACAATGCAAAACATCTTCGAAACACCGTGTGAAACCTCGGCGAAGTTGGAGCAAACTCAGACACGGTTTTGTGTTGTTTCACTATAAAGCTCGCAGAATTTCCTGCAAAGTGCGGCTACATGTTGTTGGCAAAGCGATGTGTGATTGCCAAATTGTCGCAATTTATTCGTAATATTTTCGCAATATTTTTGCAATATTTTTGAAATAATTTTGAAATAATTTTGAAATAATTTTGAAATAATTTTGAAACATATTTTGAAATATTTTTTTTATTTGAAACCCTTATTTGAAACAATTTTGAAATAAGTTTGTAAAAAAATTGTTTCTGGGTTTTATAGCCTGTAGCTGAGTAAGATTCTTATAAGCTTAGGTGCTATCGAGCCGGCAGCTCTTGAGCAGCTCGTGTGCTGTTGGGCCGGCAGCTCTTGAGCAGCTCCGGAGCTGTTGGGCCGGGAGCTCTTGAGCAGCTCAGGTGCTGCTGGGCCGGCAGCTCTTGAGCTCTTGAGCAGCTCGTGTGCTGTTGGACCGGCAGCTCTTGTGCTTTTGAGCAGCTCGTGTGCTGTTGGACCGGCAGCTCTTGTGCTTTTGAGCAGCTCTTGTGCTGCCGGGCTTGCAGCTCTTGAGCAGCTGCCGGGCTTGCAGCTCTTGAGCAGTTCAAGTGCTGCCGGGCTTGCAGCTCTTGAGCAGCTCTCGTGCTGCCGGGCTTGCAGCTCTTGAGCAGTTCTAGTGCTGCCGGGCTTGCAGCTCTTGAGCAGCTCTTGTGCTGTTGGGCAGGCAGCTCTTGGGCTG